TAGCTGAGAGAAAACTCATGAAGGAAAACATGAAGACAGGACTTCTAAAATATTTTTTTTTGGTTAAAGATTTTTTCTAGGTTTTTAAAAGTTTTTTTGACATGGTGGAACAGTTCCAGTAAAAGCAACTTTGCTGAATAATGAGTCACAAGAGATTGAGTTGGTTGAACAAGAATTTTGTGTTGAAAAAAATAGAGTTTTTTGGATTGTACAAGAGATGTGTGAGAGATTTACATTGCTTGAGCAGTAACCATGGCATTAATTATAGAAAATAGAAAAAATTTCCACCATATGACAGTTAGGAAAGTAGCATGAGCTTGGAAGCTAGAGCAGGTCTAACTGCATTTACAATGCATTTTTGGATTATGTCTAAAAGAAAAGCAGTAAAATCATTATCCAGCCTAAATATGACAGTATTCCATACAAGGATGAATTAAGAATTTTTAGAGCTAAAGAGTGGAATGAAGAGTAATTAAATAGGAGCACCAAGCTGTCTTAGAGAAAGACACCATTTAAGATTAGCTGCTTTTTCTTTTTAAGATATATATGTTAAAATTTTTAGACCAATGTATATGGCTGTTTCATCTAGCAAATAGAGCCACTTTAGGGGTAAGATTATTGGGAAGATCAATAATATAGATGAGAAACAACACAGGAGTAGGGATGATCAAGCGCTCATCATCCAAGGCAATGTTACTTATAAATATAAAAAGATTATAACTTATAAATATAAAAAAAATTCAACTTATAACATATATAAAATGCATTTAGTATTTTTTTTTTATTGTTTTATGTTTATGCATTCTGTTTTTTAAATCAAAATATTCTCTAGACAATGTAACACAAGTTTAAATCTTCCCTAGTAACACATCTTCCCTAGTAACACATCTTCCCTAGCTTATTAATGAAAAGAGAGTTGTCTTACAAAAATTTTCTGCTTAACCTTAAAATTTTTGCCTAGGAATTTTTCTACAAGGCAGTACCCAGATGTAAACATCTGTCCAAGACAAAAATTTTTATCAAGACACTATCTCTAAGATAAACTCAACCAAGAACTCCACGGCAAACAAAGTGTTCAGGACTATTATACAGACAATATTATGAAAAGAACAAATTATTTGGTGTACGTCCTGATGAGAAAATCAATTTTTAAAGGGGATCTGGGCAACTTTTTCCCCCTCCCCTTGCCCCCTTTATTTATTAAAAAAAAAATTATGCCATCTTTAGAAAAATCAAGCATAAGTTACATATTCAAAAATTCAATAAAAAATATCTTGGCGTTCAAAAGATATAACCATTTAAAGTAAAACTAGTCAAAGTGTTAGTAAATTTATTATGTATATATGTATATGCTTTAGTTAAAAATCTAACATATTTATTATTTATTTGCATTAAAACTAGCATAATTAACATAGTTAGCATGCCAAACAAACCAAGGGATCATTTCTCTTCAAGAAAACTTATTTGTGTTTGCTGTGGTGATAAAAACTTAAAATGCATTGAACTGGTTTACTGGAAATCCTTTACTAATCTTGATTCAACTGTATGCCAACACTAACTATAATATAACACTTCTTTTCAACCCTACTGGGTTATGTCCAAGCTGCAAAATTTATTTGTACTCAGCTAAAAAAAGGAGAAACTTTATCACGAGTTACTTTAGAGAGGTGGTTGCTCACATCAGAGAGAATAAAGTTATTTCCGAGATTTAAAGGTAATACTTTTACTTATACTTACTTATGCACATAATAAAAGCTATAAATAATATGAATAAACATTGGTTTTTATATATATATAAATATAGGTGAGACAGTGTCAACATGTGATTGCCTGCTCTGTATCATGTCAAGAGATAAATCCATATCTAAAAACCTTCAGGTTATTTATAAAGAACTCATATATGTAGCTCAATTATTTACATTAAAAACATTTATAAAATTACAACTTTTATTATAGTTTAATTAAGTATATTTTAAATAAGTATAGTTTTTTATTTATTTAGGATGTATTAAACATGTACATTAATGACCCTGAAGTGCCAAAGGAGGTTATAGATAAAATTTGTTGTACTTGTTATCAGAGAATTGGATCTGGAATTCAACATCCCTGTAATAAGAGAGACATTGTACAGAACCTAAAAACACTGCTAATGTCAACAGGTAAGAGCTTAATTATAGTTTTTTTAAACCTAAATTTTTACGTAATCCTAAAACATATTTACAAATTTTCAGGTTTAAAAACAGTTGAGCAAGTACTTAGCAAATCTCTGAAAGAAATTCAACAATTTAAAAATATTGAGTTAGACATCACTGTTACATTGTCGACTGGAGGAACTCCTTTAAGTCTGCAGATAGGGAAACCCTTAAAACTATCTCTACCCAAACTTTCTATAATATCAAAAGAAAGCATGATATGTCAGACTTTACTATTGATTCAATAGCAATGGAATTAAGAAAAGATTTGGGTAGATTAGGTGTAGAATCTAATTCTTCCAAAAAAATTAAGATAATGTCACATGCCTTAGATAACTATTACTCAGTGGAAAAAGTAGAATTTCTATCAAAAAATAAAGTTAAAGAAAATAAAACTATTGAAACTGTCATTAAAGATCTAGTGTATGTCAAAGATCCAGTATCTCTAGTTAATCATGTTTGCATTGCTAGGGGACTAGTAGTCGAGAATGTTATTATTCATATAGGAATAGATAAAGTTATTATGAATGTTTTTAACAGAGAAGTAAATTATGACTCCAAAGAAACCAAGAATACTGGAGTGAACAAAGTTATAATATTGGCTTTTGCCAAAAATGTTTGCAAAAGCCACACAAATCTTCAAATTTTTATAGAAAAAACAAAGCTAAACAATTTAAAGTTTTACCTTGCTGCAGATCTTAAATTATGCAACAGTTTTGGGTTTGTCAGGACATGGGGGAAAATATTCATGTTTATTTTGTGATGGTGATAAAACTAATCTTGGAGAACTGAGAACCTTTAATATGCTTAAGAACACGTATAAAAACTTTGCTGAAAATGGATTTAAAAAAAGCTCTATGCAACTCTATAAGAATGTTATACATCCATGTCTCCTGGTTGAGTCTGGAGAGATATATGCGCTTGATGTCATCCTTCCTCCAGAACTTCATTGAATGATGATGATTATAACAGAAATTTCAAATGTCTTCTGTAAGGAACCTGATGTCGCTCTCTGGTTAAAAAAGCATGGAATTATTTGGCATGGGTATAATGGAGGTGGACTGAATGGTAGAAATGCTAACAAAATACGAAAGCTTTTGCTAGATTTGGAAAAATTTATCTTAGATAACTTTTCTTATTATTATCCAGTTGTTGAACTGTTAAAGTCTTTTTCTTCAGGTAAATTTTAAATATACTTAATTTTACAAAGTATTTATATATTAAAAGTTAATTATGATTTAAAAAGAAATATTTATTAAATCAAAAGCAATTTCTCACAAATGACACTAAAATTTACATTTAGTAGTAAACATGTGTTTTGGAATGAAAATCCATGACGGTTATGCTGATGCCATTGCAACATATATAAGAAAGTTAAAGGTAATAGTTACATAAATGCATAAACAACTCATACATTTAAAAATAAAGTTTTAATTTTTGTTTATATTAACCATTTTTTAAATTATTAATTTAGGAAAACCAAGAGTATGTGAAGACTACATTAAACCACAATCTCTCTATGGGATGGAAAGGTCATATAATTGAACATCATCTTGTCATGTTTTTAAATAGAACTAAGCTGCCATTGGGAGTATTTTCTGAACAATATTCTGAATCTGTTCATCATAATATGTTGAAAACACTGAGCAGATTCTCAACTTCAGAATTCAGAGAGAACCATGGAGAGCCTCTTAGAAAGGCAATAGTTGAATATTCAAGTCAGAGAATTTAAGTTTTTTCTTTGCAATTGATTACACAATTATACATACTTGTATATTATATAGTTTTGAAGATTACATTAAATCAGTATATATTATGGATTATATTATACTGTTTCAGAGTATATATATATATATATATATATATATATATATATATATATATATATATATATATATATATATATATATATATATATATATATATATATATATATATATATATATATATATATATATATATATATATATATATATATATATATATATATATATATATATATATATATATATATATATATATATATATATATATATATATATATAGCAGATGATTTTACATTTTTCCATGAAATAAAATACAATTTTATTATCTTATACAATGTTATACAATAATATTGCAGATTAGGCTTTATTATATCATGAGTATTACACTATATTTTAATTTAAAGTAAATTTAATTTTTTGTAGTTTTATTTTAGATGGTTATATCTTTTGAATGCCAAGATATTTTTTATTGAATTTTTGAATATTTAACTGATGCTTGATTTTTCTAAAGATGGCATAATTTTTTTTTTTAATAAATAAAGGGGGCAAGGGGAGGGGGAAAAAGTTGCCCTGATCCCCTTTAAAAATTGATTTTCTCATCAGGACGTACACCAAATAATTTGTTCTTTTCATAATATTGTCTGTATAATAGTCCTGAACACTTTGTAATAAAATTTGTTTAAGTAATCAAATTTTCAACCTAAACAACCTTGAATTGACTAGTGTGTTATATTCAGTTTTATATTATTGATTATTCTTATAATTGATTAATTAATCAGTATCAGAATCTGTATCGGCCCTTTTATATCCATCGGTTTTGGTATCGGCCAAAAATGTGTAACCAGTACATCGCTAATAAATACTAAAGCAAGCAATGAAAATAAATAATTTTTAAGTATATATTTTTCACAAACACCACATTTCATTTAGGAAAAAGAAACACATTTATCATTATTTAAAAAGATATTACTGTGCCAACATTTGACATAGTATATCAGGACAATGAAATATATGTAATGTATTATAAAAAAACAGTACATACCCTACATTTTTCCACATATAGGTTAACTACTGATACCACTAAATCTAAACATTCTGTTTGAAATGTAAAAATGTTCCTACATTCGATCAAGTATGATGCTAAATTTCCAATGACAAAAAATATACGAACAGCAATATCCTATATACAAAACAGCATACAAAACAGCATATAATATTCTACATTTAAATAGTTAAAAGAAAATAATAACCGTTTTGAAATAAATTACTTTATTCAAATGGTGTTTCCGAAGTAATTGAACTTGATTTTTATAAAATGATTCATTGTGTAAATGGACACACCACTTTTCATTTACAGTCAATTTGCTAAGTTAAAAAATTATGTGATAAATTTAAAACAGAGAAAAAATAAAATAGTAATACAACTATAACAAGTAAAAAAAGATTAGTACTTATTAGATACTAAATATTATATTAGATATTAAATACTAATTAACAGATAATAACTTATTATAGCATACTCAACCCTTGGAATTAGGAAAAATGCGGTCAGCAATTTATTGCCAATGTCAAACTGTTAGAAGTTGGCAAAAAAAATTTTACACAAAGGGGTTACCATAAAACATAGAAACAAGGTTGGCAAATTTTTGCCAACCTCAAAAACTTTTAGGTCGGTAGTTCGATCAGCATTGCCGAATGCCAACCCTAATTCTGAGGGTTGCATACTGTACTTATTTTAAAACATTTAGAATTTAATTTATATCTATATTTAAGATATGCTAACAATATTTACTTATTTATTCAAAATATTAAATTAAAAATATTAAAATATTTACTCAAAATATTAAATTAAAAATATTAAAAACAATATTTTTCTATTGAATTTAAATAACAGCCATACATTTTCATGTTAAGTTATTTTAATATAACTTTTTATAATATTCTAATTTAAATAATATATATGTTAGCTATCAAATTTAACTTATTTAAATTATTCTTAGTTATTTTAAATATAATCTAAAGTCCTTATTCATTTTAATCCATAGTTTAATTTGTAACAAAAATGTTTTACCTTATAACTCTGCAATAGCTCAGCACAATTCCTTCGTCTTCATTGTAAATATCTATTGTACTGAATAAAACATCAGGTATTTTGCAGGAAACAAATTCTTCATGTAGCGAATCTTCATTTGCTAAATTTGCAAACGTTGAGACCACCTGGAGTACATAAGTCTTGCTGACGTAAGAAAGAATTTTTAAAATCACATTAGAAATTACTTCATCAAATAATAAAAGCTTGCAATGACAAAATTTTCATTTATTAAATAAATTTTAATATGTAACACAAAATGTGGCATTATGTAAACACAAAAAAATGTTTTACATTTTTTTATAGTTGATTAAATATATGGAAACTTTGATTGAAAATTTTGATAATTGAAAAGTTAGAACAAAAATAAAACTTTATGGACTTTTGAACACATAATTTTTCATGCATTAGGTATTTACATAATTTTTTCAATTTCAGAAAAACTTTGTTTCACCACTTTTTAATTTTTTATTTATTGCTAGAAAATCTTTTGTTGAATATTTGGTCAAGTATTGGCTGCCAAAAAATTATCTAAAATGGGCCTGTTATTAATTTCCCATTTTTAAACTGACCCTTACATTTTAAAATGAACATTTGTAAAAATGAACATTTGCTACTTGTTTGAAGAAGCCTAATGCATGTTTCAAAAAGCTTCTAGTGCATTAAGTCAATAGACAGCATAGATCCTGTGGAAGATCAAGAATTATCACTCCAAAAACATGATTTGCCATTTGTTTGTGAAAGAAATACAGATTTCAAGCTTACAAATTGTTGGTCAGCTGCTTCCTAGAGTGAATATTAGTACCCAACACAGTTCAAAGATAATACCAAGAAAGAAAGACCGGTCATGCTGGTTTATACTTTTTACATCGAGGTGAGACTTTTGAAAATTTTACCTTAATTAAATTACCTTAAACAATGTCTGATTGGTTTTGAACTAGAATTTTTGTTATTTTTATGCATGGCATGGCAACTTTCCATCAGAAAAAAGTTTTTAAAACATGATTGAAGAAAAAAGTTTTTAAAAAATGATTACCAGAATATGCAAATAATGTTCTTGCTTAGTGGACAGGTAACTCATCAGATTTAAACTCTGTCAAAAACAGTTAGGTAAAATTGAAAGCAAATGCTTCTATAGAACCAAACCTTAATGAAAGAGTAATTTTGTATAAAGTACATGTTGTAAAACAAGAAATTGCGATTCTCTTGATGTCTCAATACTGAAAAGAAAGGTTGTTCAAAGAAGCCTGTAAAAAGTACTAAAAGATGTTTAATGTTAAATATGTTACTTATAAATATAAAAAAATTATAACTTATAACATATATAAAATATGTTAAGTATTTTTGTTTTATTGTTTTATGTTTATGCATTCTGTTTTTTAAATCAAAATATTCTTTAGTAATAAATGTGTACACAATATAAAACAAAAACAGTTTAAAATGTGTACACAATATAGTACAAAAACAGTTTTTCACAAATAATATTGGGTGGCAAAATCTTTTTGACCATAAATATTTATATAACTTTTATATAAAAAATGTTTCATTTTATAAAACTGATGATTTAGACAAAGTCTAATTCAGGCCTTGTCATGAAGTGGGAGCGATCGCTCCTGTCACGTGAAACACGCTTGTTAATGGTATATTTATAAATTGTGGGTGCGACAAAATACGCTTGCTAATTTAGTTGCAAGAGTAAAAAATCATGCTGGTCCTAAAAATTTGGAAGGGAGAAAACTAATAAAGGTTTACTTGATTTTATATTAATTTTTTTTTATAAAAAGTTTTTATTAAAGATTCTTGTTTAGTTAAACAAAAAAGTTCGCTTATTGTTAAAAAATAATAATCTCTATTCACATATCTTTAATAACATTTTTTCAACTGAGGTAAAATGTTAAAGATATACTTCAATTAAAAAACTCATTTTTTCAAGTTAGCTTATGTCATATTGTTGAAATTAGAGCACAAATTTCTACAAACAATGAATTGTGATTTGTGAATGAGACTTCTTTATATAAAACATTTACAGCAAATATTTAACAAAATTAAATAAAATTCATTTGTATAAGTTTATTAATAATATTAAATTGCTAAAATTTAACTAAATTCAAAAAGCTTTTGTTATTAAAATCATAACTTATATTATTTATAACTTAATTAAAATTATAAATTTATTTGCGAAAAAGAAAAGTTTAAGTTTGTGAAAACGTTTGCTAAAAAAGTTATAAAAGTTCTATTCTGTTAGCAACGAAAAATCATTAAATATGATCTAACTAAAAGAAATCGTTATTTCATTTTTTAATGTTTTAATGACGCAAAAACATTATGAATTTATATTTTAATTAAACGAAAGAAACAATGAAAAAAAATGAAAGCTTATGAACTTCTTTTAAATAAATTCGATGTAATGATAAAAAAGAATTGACTGTAGTATTAAGTTAAAGATGAAGACAATAACAAAGAAAATACATAAAAGATAAATTTATTCTTTAAAACAAGATCATTAAGAACTAAGTGGGAAAAAAACACAATCAGATGGGATCAAATAATAAATAAGTATTTAGGAAGTCGAAAGAATTTTAAACATTTTGTCAGGCAGCGCACTGCTAAATAATAATTTTAAAATATGTATTATCTTAAGGTATTAATTAGTTTTTTAATTACCAGTACATCTAATTATCAATGTATTAATGCAAAAAAAAAAAATAATTTCAAAACTTGTATAAAAGCTTTCTTACCTGAAGAACAGCATGAGGACAATCTGTTGTTTGATTTTTTGCTTTGTAAAACTGAATTAAATTTTTGTTAGAAAATAGAAAATTAAAAATCAATTAAAATAAAACAAAATTTTAAGTAAAAAAGTATTTAATGTTTTAATTAAAGTTAATTATTAATTTATTCAAAGTTAATTACTATTTACTTTTAATTAATTTTTTTGATTGTAATACTTTATTTTTAAAATAAAATATTTTGAGAAAAATTGAATAGAGTTCCAAGAAACTAAGAGCAAAAAAAATTGTAGTTCGAAGAAATGTAAACCTGATATTATTACAACTAAGCTTGATCAGAACTATCCCTTCAACAAATATCTTATATCATTGGCATTGGAATATGGTCTTTACAGTGCAGAACAGGTGGCTTCTTCCATGATCAAGGAAAAATAACCATAGAAATTAATTCAGAAGATTAATATAATTTAGCTAAATGGGGACATCCTCTAATAATAAGAGTTAGTTATTCTGAAAAAAATGAGACGAAATCCAGCAATTCTTCTTTAAAATATTTTAGCAACTTAGAATAACTTTTGATTTTTAAAACAGAGGATCTAGAAAACTGATTTCTACATTTAACAAAAATACTGGAAATAGAGTATTACTGATAGAAGTGACAAAGTTAATGTCAGATTTTGAATCAACAGTAAGAAATTATTAAAATGTTCAGTTCATGAATTTTGAAGTTAGTGATGAAAATGTTGGTAAAAAATCATTATTGAAAATATGTTAATATCTTTGATCCAGACGAATTTTAAGTTAACAAGATAAGATTAGAAGCAGATAAGTTAAGATAAGATTAGAAGCAGAAGTAAACATATCAGGAGATTACATTGGATTTGGTGTGCACCGTATACAGTTTATTGCAATTACTGAAGATATTTCTGAAACTTATCAAAATACAAAACAAATTCTAGATATTCTCCAGCTAGGTAGACTGGCTTTTTAAATTGTATGGGATTTAAAATTAGCTAAAATGATTATGGGTTTATCTGGCCATGGTGGTATCTATTTATGCTTAAACTGTGAAAGTGAAAATACTGTAATTGCAAAAACTCTAAGAGCATTTGAAAGCTTTTTGATTTTCATCTTTCTGAGCAGGAGGATTCAAAAGAGAAACAGCCCAGCTTTGTAAAAACCTTATTCAAAAAACACTTTTTTATCTTGATAAATAAAACACCACTATCATCATTACATACATTCATGGGATATGTTAAAGTCCTCAGTGAACTAGTTTTTGTTCTATGGCCGAACATTAATCAGTTGCTGTCTGGAAAACATATGTTAATAAAATCACAGAGGGTTTAATGGAATGAACTAACATGATATTGCATAAACTTAGATATCTAGAGAATTTCTAAACAACTCTATTACCTATTACTATATGTTTCGAATATTTAAAGACTGTTATCATGGGTGACTGCTTTGGTGATTCTATTTGTCCCAATTTTGAAAACTTAACCAATGATAAACATTTTATTGAAAGAGTCATATAATTATCTAATAGAGTTTTGAAAAGACTATAACTACACCTTTCCAATAAGATTTCCAAATGTTAGCCCACATAGTTACTGTTTGTAAAGAAGATTGATGTGACCTTATTGAATTTACAAAACAAACTAGAGAAGCCACTTGCTCCAAACTTAAACCAACCTGTGTGAGATATGAAAAATGTTTTTTCTTAACTTGACAGCTCATTGGTTTTTTTAGTTTGTTAATTTAATGCATTAAATTAAGATTAGTCTAAGAATAGTCAGTGGTAACTAAGTGGTAAGAATAGTCAGTGGTAACTAAGAATAGTCAGTGGTAAATGTTTCACAAATTTTCAAACAGAAGATTATAAACTTAGATCCAATTTGTGATATTGATAATTCTAAGCTAAAATCACTTAAAATTAATGAATGGACTATTTTAGAAAATATACTTCAATTTGAAATATATTTAACAACATAAATTTATTAAGTAAAGATAAAGTGAACACATCTTCTATAACTCTAACTGCACAAAGTATACAAAGCATGCTGGTTCAAGCTAGTTCAAAAACAGAAAGCAAACATTGCCTAAAATTGAAAACTGATGTTTAAGCTTCTAGCTTATTTAAGTCTGGAAACAACTATACAAGAAGATTATCCTTTAGCACAGTGGAAAGCAAACAAAAGTCACTTCTAACAATTAGCTCCTAGAGCTCAGAAGTATTTACCAGCCATAAGAAGAAGATTTTTTTTTTAAAAGTGTTCAGTTGTGGAGAACAAGTTTATCATCTGCAAAGAAATAGGTTGGCTCAAGAAACAGGAAAAAATCAATATTAATGGATCAAATTCAAAAATTTGTTTACCAGGTCGGATTACGGTAATATAACCCAGTAATGCCCAATAAATCAACAGCTCTACACCTTAACATAGATATGCTTTTTATTTTTGAGAATAAATATATGATTTAATAATCTAACCTTTTATATATTTAAACATTTTAATAAACACTTTATTTTTTTGTCTATTCATTTCACTGTTTATGCTATAGTATATTATTGTACATTTATTATGAAATTAACAACAATAAATTATAAACTTACATAAGTAAGGTTAGGTGTCACTCATATAGTTAAAAACTAGTTAATGGAGTGACACTTAAAAAATAATAATAATAATAAATAAAATATAGAGTGATTTAAAAAAAATAAACAATAAATAACAGAAAAAAGAAAGTTAAAAAAAAGAAAGTGCTTATAAATAATAATAATATTAACAGCAATAATAATAACAAAATAATGATAACAACAATAATCATTAAATAAATAATATCATAAATAATATTAAGACAACTAAAAATATATATAATAATAATAGCAATAAAATTAAAAATATAAAATTAAAAATTATAATAATTTTATTAATATAATGCACAACTATGAACAACAATAGAAGACACCCATAATATTAATTACATTAAGTTATACTTAATGTTAAAAAAAATAAACATCAAAAATATTAGGGTAAATTATTACCTTTTCAATAACTTCTAAAACATTAACCAAAACATTAAGAACATTGCACTGGACAAGTTCAGGAACAATTTTGCAATTTTCTGAGAGAAGCTTTAATGTTCCACATAAAAAAATTAGACATTTTATTCGCTCTGATTTATCTATCATCTTTAGCACTTGAAGTATGGGATCTAGTCAAATAAAAATTAAAATTTTACATTAAGTAATAAGCTTTTACTGAGCCTTTTATCTTTTTTAGATAATTTTTTTTTAAGACATAGAATTAAAGCCTTACCAAACATTTTCTCTTTAACAAAAAGTAAATCATTTTCTTTTTCTTGAGCAAGGTGGAACAAGATTTTTGACACAATCTCTAAGTTTTTTCCAGTCACTTCCAGCTATGATTATAAAATTATGTTTTAAATATGTAATACTAAAGCTAAAGACCAAAAAAAATTTTTTTTACCTAAAATAAGATTATGTTGAAAATTGGATCTAAAAAAATAAAATTTCTCTCTCTATATATATAAAGGTGGGTATCAGCTGGTTTGCACTGGTTCCTGCAAACTCTAGGAGCTACTGCAGTTTCTCTTCTTTTTTTTATGGTTAAGAACTTTAAGATTTAGAAAAATATAAGAACACAGGTCTAAAAACTGAAAATGCTGTAATCTGAGCTAGATGTTTGTCCAAGAATGGATTAAACTATTTCTCTGAGATGACAGAGAATTATTTATGCTTATGCAATTAAATTACTTAATGTTGTTCATGTTTAGATTTTATCAACAATTTTACTAAATATTGCAGGGACAAGGAAACCCAAAAAGGTCTCTGGATTTGAATGTCACAAAAAGATTACTTCGTCTTCTAGGAGCACTAATAATATAAAAACCACTTTTTATTGGTAAAAAATACTTTTAGGTTAGAAGAACAATCACCTTTTGAACCCGGAGTCCTTAGGTATAATGGCAGCAAGGACACCAGGACTCTGGACTTAAAAACAATATGTTTCAAGTCATTACATTTCATGAGTTTTTTTAAAATAGCAAATCATAAGTTAACCAACATGTTCAGAGCTTCTGGAAACATGAGGCCCGGAAAAAATTGAGATATAAAGCCAGAGTCCTTTAGGGACTCTGTATCCCTGAAATATAGTAATAAAAAATCCTTTTGTTTTGAAATAAATTATTAACTTAAAAAGATAAAACAACAAAAAACAACAAGCAAAAAAAAAAAAAAAGTAAAAAAAAATGCTTACAGCTATAAACAGTTTTGAAAGTTTTAAAAGAACTAATGGATTTTTTTCTTCAGAGCACTTAAGCGCAGTAGATAAAACTTCTGACCTTTGTTTTGGTTCTAATTTGTTTTTCCCCAGCATATCTTCAAACTGCAGTGTTTTTAAAAGAATATCAAAGTTTATTAACAGGGAACCATAATCTTCATGTAAATGATTTAGTTCCATTTGTTTTAACAATGGAGTAATATTTTCTTCAAATCTTTTTCTGTCATATTTTGTATGCACCACTTTGTTTTTATCTTCTGAATTATTACACTTATTCAACCAGGTTTTAACATAGTCTTCTGTTTCTTTTGCAGTTGAATATGATGAAACTTTAATAATTGGTTCTGATAAACATGATGATTGTGTCAAAGATGGTTGGATTTTTAATGAAGGCAACAAACCATGAGTGTCCCCTGATTTAATGCTCTTTCCAATTTTCACAACTTTATTTCTCTATTAAAAAAAATTTGAAAAAAAAACAATATCAAAGCAAAGAAATTTTAGAGAATAAAAAACTTATTAGGTAAATTTAAAATATATGTGTTATATAATATATAAATATATAATTATATATATATATATATATATATATATATATATATATATATATATATATATATATATATATATATATATATATATATATATATATATATATATATATATATATATATATATATATATATATATATATATATATATATATATATATATATATATATATATATATATATATATATATATATATATATATATAACATATATATATAATATATGTCAGAAAGTTTTTCCCATAAACTGCAGTTTTAAAGAGCGCATTAATAAACCAGACCAGAAAAAGTTTAAATATATGTGTACATATATATATATATATATATATATATATATATATATATATATATATATATATATATATATATATATATATATATATATATATATATGTTATATATACAGGGTTCCCACTACTAAAACTGGGGCTAAAATTAAGGATATTAAGGAGATTTAAAGAGATATTTTCCTATTATTTAAGGAGATTCAGTCGCGAACGACAATTTTTTGAAGGAAAAAGTAAGGAGAATTAAGGAGAAAACAATTATACTAAAAACAGAATCTTTCTTTTTTCAATCAATTTTAAATATAAATAGATACACTATCATAAATAAAAAAAGAAATATATATATATATAAATATATATATATATATATATATATATATATATATATATATATATATATATATATATATATATATATATATGTATAAAGAAATATAAATATAAAGAAATATATATATATATATATATATATATATATATATATATATATATATATATATTAGAGATGTACCGATTAATCGGCATCGGCTTAATCGGCCACTTTTTGCACAATCGGTATCGGTATCGGCATCAGTCTTTCCTTATCAATTTACCGATTTTCCAACCGATGGCATTTTTATATTTTTATCCCTAAAATTGTATTTATTTTTTGAAAGTTTTCTTTTCATAGTTAAAAAAAAGTAAAAAATGTATATTTATTTGATTGAGCTTTTCTAATATCTTTTGAAATAAAGGTTTGACTCTGATTTGGGTCCAAGTATTTGCTTACCAGTTCTGATTCCATGAAAAATTTTACACGATTTAAAGTTGTATGGTTTTATATTTTCAAATTATAATAGCTAGTTAATCTATCGGTATCGGCATCGGTATCGGCCTTTTCCTATCCATCGGCATCGGTACATGTATATATATATATATATATATATATGTATATACACATACAATAACATTAAAAACAAAATCTTTCTTTTTTTGATAAATTTTAAATATAAATAGATAAACTATTATAAATAAAGAAATCAATATCTTCTATAATTTTTCTTTTTGCTTCCATTTTCACTGTTTTTTCTACAGACAGGGCTTTTAAACGTTGATCATCAAAATACTTTTTTCTTGCTTGTTTGCAATAATCTAATAAATCTTTTGTTATTTCAACTTCATGAGCCATAAACCCATGAAATGTGAGGTAATCTTGGATTGAACGTAAAGAGATAATAGTGTCTGGGGACATATTGTCATCGATCAGACTTTTATTGCTGCTAAATCCTCGTTCAACTTGAGCTTGTCCGTGCGATAAAATGAGTATAATTTTGAAAATGTGCTGTAGATTTGCATATATCTTTAAATCAGTGTATTTCCACAAAAAGTAGTCCAAACGATCCTTATCTTTATCAAAAGTCAAAAATACTTTTTTGTTATCAACGACCACACTTTTACAGAACCTGGAATATTCTTTCTTAGCTAAATCACCAACAGAAGCTCTAATTTTCTTGTAAGTAACAAGCTTCATCAACAGTTTGTCAAAAAAAAATCACACTTTTCTGGATATTCAACCATAAATGATGGGGAAATACACACCAGACAGCGAGCAACCAGTGAAGACAAAGGGCTTTTCTCAATAATATGAGTGCACATTGAGACAAGAAAATCACATATTTCTTTTTTGAACTTATCAATTTGAACATCAGTAATCTTTCCCTTACTCTTAAGTTGCTGGATATCATACTTCAATGAAAAACCAACATCAATTTGGCTGGTTGAAAGCTGGTTTGCGAAATTAAACAAATCTATTTTTAACAAAGATGTTGTAGTTTTGGCATTTAAAAGAACATCTAATTGAATGAACTTTGCATAAAAGTTGCGTAGTAGTTCTTCAAGTGTCACCACCAGAAAAGGAGTCATTGGTTTATCAGTTTGAAAAGAAACTAGAAGAAAAAAAAATAGATTAAAAATAACTTTTTGTGATTTTTTCTCAAAATTTTAAAAATAATATGAAAAGAATAGCTCAGAATATTTTTTTACTTTTGTAATAAAACAAAATATATTACATAAAGAACAATAAAATTGCATCTAGATTAAATATTACGTACCAAGGAATGTATTTAGACTGCCACTAATTTCT